GTCTTTATCCACATATCCATATCCACATCCGAGTGAAACCAGCAGACATATAGCTAATTTACTATTTCCTTTGTTCAAGCATAGATTCTGATGTCTAACAGGGCATAAATTTAAACAATTTAAAATGAAAAGGTGGCCAGGTGCCATGGCTCACGCCTGTAATCCCAGCACTTTGGGAGGCTGAGGCAGACAGATCACAAGGTCACGAGATTGAAACCAGCCTGACTAACATGGTGAAACCCTGTCTCTACTAAAATACGAAAACTAGCTGGTCATGGTGGTGCGCGCCTGTAATCCCAACTACCTGAGGGGCTGAGGCAGAAGTGCTTGAACCCAAGAAGTGGAGGTTGCAGAGAGCTGAGATCGCACCACTGCACTCCAGCCTGGTGACGGAGTGAGACTCTGTCTCAAAAGAGAAAAGTTAAATATCATTTATGTTCATAAAATTAAGGTGGTGCATGGCAGGGCTAAATAAAATAGACGCAAAGCGAAAAATCTTTTTAGGATGAGAAAATTAGCTTTTGTGTATTTTTGTTGTATATATAAATTCATTCTGACAGAAAATAATCATCTTTATTTCCACAATAGAATTTTCTCAGATGTTCTCCACTAGTTTGTTTGTTTCTACTACTTTCCAATATAACTTGGTATTTTCAGGGTTTAAGGAATTGTGCCATTTATTATAATTTTATTCAAACAGTATGCTAAACTGCATTAGTAGTTTTATACATGAAAAATACTACCTTAGAATTAAATTTTAACTTCATAATTTTCAAAAAAGCAAATAAAAAATGTGTGAATTTTTAAAAAAGCCAAATGTGAATAAGTTATTTACAAGACTTTTTTTTTTTTTTTTTTTTTTTTTTTTGAGACGGAGTCTCGCTGTGTCGCCCAGGCTGGAGTGCAGTGGCCGGATCTCTGCTCACTGCAAGCTCCGCCTCCCGGGTTCACGCCATTCTCCTGCCTCAGCCTCCCGAGTAGCTGGGACTACAGGCGCCCGCCACCTCGCCCGGCTAGTTTTTTGTATTTTTTTAGTAGAGACGGGGTTTCACCGGGTTAGCCAGGATGGTCTCGATCTCCTGACCTCGTGATCCGCCCGTCTCGGCCTCCCAAAGTGCTGGGATTACAGGCTTGAGCCACCGCGCCCGGCCTACAAGACTTTTTATGCTACAAGCAATGTATCTCTATATATGCTCAGTGAAATACTTAGTAAACCAAAGATTTTGACAATGGTCTTTATAATTATGGAAATAAAAGCATTGAGACACCTGCTGTTTTCTGACAGAGTAATCAGCTCTTTCAAAGAATGCTTATATAGTAAGCACTTATCTTTTCAACATAGCTAGATAACATAATTACAAAGGCTGAATAACTGATCTTAAAGGCTACAGAATTTCTGCAAACATCTAATATAAAAGATATACAATATAATTTGATTTGGGGAGAGACTGTATCAATCTACTGATTATTCCAAGAAGCCTGCCTATTACTAAGTTGAAAAAGAAAATATGATCTTGTATGAAACAAAAAGCAATGTGCAAAAGGCTCATCCCAAACTATATGTGGGTGACCTTCCTGTCATTCATTTTATTATCCAGATAGAGAACGACTAGAAAAAGAGGACAGAAATGTAAGAAAGGAATTTTAAAAGAAAATAAGAGGTAGAAAAGTCATCTTCCAACAAATAAGAGATGAGGAAACAGACATCAAGGAAACACTAAATAAAATCCAAACAGTAAATACAACGAATTTCATCAATTAACCTGTCATTTTTTTTCAAATTCTTTCTTGTACATGTTTACATTGATGCTGTATGACATTTCTCCAGAGGGGATAATGCCTTAACACCCCAAAACTAGTATATAAGACTAGAATTTTTCATTTTTGATTACCTACTGTAATAGCATCAGTTACAAAGAAATTTGTTATTTGTGGCTACAATAGGTCAAGTTAAAGTCAGTCCAACAAAACATTACAATGATTTAGCCTTTAGTTATTGTTCAGGTGTAGTTTTACTGTGCTTTTAAAGGTGTTTCTCACTTAACTGTAAGATGTTCAAATTTATTCAAAAATTCTACCTTATCTTTCCAAAACAATTTCACATTGTTTCTGCAAAATCTAAAAAATAATAAAAAAAAAATCCCTGATGAAAATAATACTTTACTACTTGTAGATTTACTGGTTACTTTAAAAGATTAAGAGAATGTTTGTTGGCTGGGTGCAGTGGCTCATGCCTCTAATCCCAGCACTTTGGGAGGCCAAGGCAGGAAGATCCCTTGAGCCCAGGAGTTCAACACCAGCCTGGGCAACAAAGTGAGACTTGTCTCTACAAGAATTAAAAAAAAAAAAAAAAAGAAAAAATGGTAGTGCAGTGCATGCCTGTGTTCCTGGCTACTTGGGAGGATCACTTGAGCTTGGGAGGTCAAGGGTGCAGTGAGCCGTGATCATGCCATTCCAGCCTGGGTGACACAGGGATAGCCGGTCTCCAAAAAAAAAAAAAAAAAACAGTTTGTTAACACCATTTCCTCACTTAAGAGTATAAGCTTGTTTTACTAGGTCTATCCAAGAAGATCTTAGAGTTGCAATATATTTTTTCTCCCTCTTCAGTAGAGAGCAGTGACTTTTTGGGTACTACTTTAGCTATGAAAATTTTTCTTCTAAATTTTTCCACTCTGAACAGGAATGTTTTAAAACACTGTTAGGCCTGTTGAGCAGCCTGTTTTTCTAAAACATTTTATCTTTCAAAATACATACCCTATTAACAAGAATGTTTTTAACTAACAAAAAAAAAAAAAAAAAAAAAGAATTCTAACTTGTATTGCAAGCCCTTTTCCCAGTTTCAATTTTTATATAAATATTAAATCACTGATTCTTCTATGATCCAAGCACAGATATGTTACTTTTTAAGGATAAAAAAATCAAATCACTTAGGTTAAATTGGTTGTCTACAGTCACACAGTAAGTTAGATAAAGCAAAGGAGGTTCCAAAGGGTAACACTAAATTCCATTCACTAGCATGTTGCCTCACTAACACTCTCATAAAATAGGTTACTAATAATATAAGTATTAATAAATGGAATTTCCAAGAACTTTAATAAAGGGTGGGATTATAAGATTAGTTTTTGTTTTACTAATTACAACTATATCCTGGAACTATTTACATATTACCTAGGAAATAAAGTTTGTTTATTCTTGTAGGATTGTTTTTAAAAGCAGTATTTTCCCAAATATTAATTTAACAGTAATCCTAAAAGTAACTCAGGAAATAAAAAACTTGTTTATCACTTCAGTACATTTTATTCATAATGAGGTAAACTTTTTGTTTTTTCTCTATATATGTGGATATATATAGCAACACAGGTTAGTTGTGCTTGAGGATTCCTATGAATTACAAAATTATACATGTTCCCATTCTGTTTCTCTACTCCTAAAGCAATCATGTATATACATTATTTCCTAATAACCCAATAAGGTAAAAGTCTTAAATAATTTTATTTTATCCTCTACTCTTCTGAGACCATGTGTTCCCATGTTGTGGGGAAATAAATTCTGGCACATGAATGAAGAGACCAAGATTTCTAGGTCATAGTACTTCAAAATCACACTCTTGGCTTGGACTTCAGCTCTCTAACAAAAATTTAAAAATTAGCTTCTAGGTTTCTAAGGTTTCTTCCAGCTCTAATGTGCCATGATTTGAAAAGTTACCTTCTGTGGTAGCTTCTCCGAATTATCCTTTCTTTCTTAAATGTTACCCTAGTCCATTTAATTAGACTTACCTAAATACTTCAGAAAGGTCATCCAATCTTGTATCCTTGATGGATTTAATATTAACTCATAGATATATCTGTCTAAAAGTATTATGGAAATAGTACACAACTGAAGGTAATGCAGTTTTGTACTATATTCTATTTAACATTTCTATTAGGAATAAAATGATCATGTTACAATTTTGAAGATCTTGGGTTTACTTAAAGAATTCACTAACTATTACATAATTCTATTAGTTTCTTAAAACTTTAAATTCAATCTGAACATAATATTTTAATGTGTCAAAAGTAGCTAATATATTCAATTCAATGCTTGACAGGGTTAAAGATGTGAACAACATCAGAAGCAATGCATATCTGAAGTAGGGGTGGGGGGTGCTATGATGAGCTTTGCTGAACAAAAATCTCTCAGGTAAATCACACTTAAAAACTGATACCAGTTGCCTTGAAGGAATGGGTTTGTATCACAACCAGCATTAATATGTCAAATAAATTTGAAAAGGACATTTTCTTATTCCCAGAGCCCAAACTTCACACAAAACAGAAGAAAATATGTACAGAAATCCTCAGACTACTAGAGTCCCCCTTTCCCAAAAAACATAAAACCTCTGACCCCCAAGCACCTAAAAGGCTATAATTTACATTAACTACAGTTTGACTTTTCACATAACAGCGAGAAGGATCTTACAAACCCTCAGTAAATCTTCAATTAATACTTAGAGAACAACAGATATGCAAACAGGTTTTATGTGTAAGCTACCTTAGATGACTGTAATAAAATTATGAGCAAAGATAACGGCATTTAAACAGATTGCTTTAATGTTAAACCTCACAATGAAGGATACTTGCTTAAGAAAATAATGCACTTTAGTGTAATGAAAAGTTTAATATATACAAATAATATTGAAAAAAATTCCTAGTGATTGGCTACCTGGTAATATGCTACTCAAAAATTGCCTTTCAAACCTGAAGGACCTAGATTGCTTTATTATTTATACTATCAAAGAAGAATATTTTGCCATGAAATGAATAATGGACAAAGAGATAGGCCATTGACCTGTATACAATTTAAAAATATTGACTAAAAAAATAGTTAAAAGTAAAAATTTTTATTTTATTTTAAAAGTAAGGAAAAAGCTAAACTGGTTATAGCTGAGATTTTAATTGTTATACTTTGTGAATGAGGGGGAGTTAAGCGCTTGAAACATTTTATGTTATTTTCACTTAAGAGTACGAAAAAAAGTGTGAGACTACATCTGGCTATGTTGTTATAATTCAGAGGAAATCATTATCAAGTCACACCCCTTGTGGCAATAAAATATAACAAAGCAAAAAAAAGCAAACCAAACAGAATTCCTCAGCCAACACAAACTATTCTTAAGGGTTGCCATGATGTTTCTGATTAATGGTAACACGTTCTACAAGTCCAAATAAAACATCAGAAATAAAATATTTTTTTCACTGAATAAGAAAGCTGTTGTGTGATCTTAGTAAAACTCTGACAGGAATTTGTAAAACTCATTCATAATTTAATCAAATGTCTTTTTTTTTTTTTTTTTACCCCCTTGGTATAAAAGTTTACAGATGAGTTTCATATTCCATCACAGTTACATGGTCTAGTGCATTTCAGAGTATTTGGACATTATCAAAGCTGTCCTTTCCCAATGGAAACGTTTAAGAAAACGTTAAGCACTTCTCAAGTGACATGATGTGGAATTACACTCTTTGCTCTTACCTCTTTTAAGTACACATGTATTATTCAACAAAGCAAAACTATTTTACAGTGTCTATTAACAAAAAGTTCTCTATCAGATAGAGGAAACTACAGTATCCTGAAGCTATTTCCCCAAGAGCTAGTTTAGTAGACAGACCTTTGGGCCCATCTTATTTTTCCTTCTTTTTTTTTTTTTTTTTTTTTTTCAGTAAGGTAACTTTCCATTATGCACATACTATACCATCATCATTCATTGGGTGGGGATTAGCTGGGAAGTAGCTGTATATTTTTAGTGAGATCACTGATGGCAATGGATCTCTGGATCGTGCTGCTGCTTACGGTTAAATCATATCTAATGTGAAATTTCGAATTACATCCAGAGCTCCAGTATCAAAGCCACACATATCCAACATGCCTCTATCATCTGGGTCTGCAATGGTAAAACCATTTGATGTCATTCCACAAACAATCAGTTTAGCTGGAATATCCATTTTCTGTAGAAAAAGACCAAAATACATATTAAAAACATGTATGTAAGGAAACACAAAATACCTCCAAAATTAAATCACTTTAACATTTCTCTACCAGAGCTTTTTAATTACAAAGTCATTTTTTTGGGGGGGAGGGTCAATCTTTTAAGGCTAGAATATGGGAGTTTTAGAAGAATGGACAATAAAATTGTATTAGAATCTGCCTGAAATTTCTACTTCTCTCATCAATTACTTTACTTGTTCTATGGGCTGCAGCATACATTATTGAGCAGCCTAGGCACTTTGTACTTACGAAACCTGTCAGGGTATTAAGGGTGCCAGATATTTTTATCAACATATCAAATGCTGGGGCAGTGTGTATGAGTATATATAAATATAAGGAAATATCTCTCTGGGATGATCAACTTTTGGCTGATGACTGATATGTGCGATATATACATGTTCCATGTAAGAACTTGTCCTCTACAGCTACATGTAAGATTAAAATAATTGAGTTTTTGAGAAAAACCTACAATCGCTGAATGTATACACGTGAGAAACTACAATGAACTCTTTAAATAATACATCTAACGTAATTGTTAAAACAAATGTAAGAGGTAAGGACTATAACTTACTATGATGTAGATCAGTAATAATTTGCTCAGGTCCACAGAGTAAGATAAAGACTCAGGACTCACAACCAAACAGTCTTTACATTCTATCCTGGTTGGGCAGTGCCTCATGGCTGTAATCTCAGTGCTTTGGGAGGCTAGGATTTCAAGTTACAGTAAGCTATGATAGCACCATTGCACTCCAGTGATGGAGACCCCATTTCTTAAAAAAAAAAAAAAAAAAAAAAAAATCTATTCCCTCACCTGTAGCTTTCAAACTTAAGCCTGCATCAGAATGCTCCAGAGGGCTTGTTAAAACACAGTCCCAATGTCAGAGTTTCTGATTCAGCAGATCTTTGTTGGGCCTCAGGAATTTGCATTTCTATTAAGGTCGCAGGTGAGGCTAAGACTGCTGGTAGGGAAACCACACTTTGAGAACCACTACTCTTCATCAACAAGTTCTATTTCTACTTCTAGTCATACCAGCCATATTTTAAGTGCTCAAAAGTCCCATGTGACTAGTGGCAACACATATTGGAGAGTGACGATTCATGCCATTTCAGAAAGCTCAACGGGAGGATACTGATTAGAACACAGATATGTCCATAAAACGTAGAGCATAGATTATAGCTTTAATTTTATGTAATCCTTTTGCAAAACTCACATAATACTTTCAAATTTTCAAGGAGCACACTGAATTATTAAAAAAAACTTACAGCTAAGGTAAAACAAATATTCTGATCATTACCAAAAATACTGTTTGCAAAGGATATTCTTAGTAATGTTTAACAATGGAAACTGGTTAAATTATATATGTGTAACCAATACTTTTTCTTATTTTAAGTACTGATGAGTCTGTAACAGACATTGGCTCCTATATAAGATACAGAACTACTTGTAGTAACATTTTTTGAAAAACTTAAGTGAATAAGAATCAAGAATGGCCAGGTGTGGTGGCTGTAATCCCAGCACTTTGGGAAGCCGAGGCTGGAGAATCACTTGAGCCTAGGAGTTTGAGACCAGCCTGGGCAACATGGTGAAACCCCATCCCCACAAAAAATTAGGTGGGCGTGGTGGCACACTCCTGTAGTCCCAGCTACTTGGGAGGCTGTGGTGGGACAATCACTTAAGCTTGGGAGGTTGAGGTTGCAGTGAGCTATGACTGAGCCACTGCACTCCAGCCTGGGCAACAGAATGAGGTCCTGTCTCAAAAAAAATAAATAAATAAATAAAAAATCAAGTATTAAAATATTATTTGGGTGAGAAACCATATTAGAATTTGTTTTACCTTTCGATACTCCCTCAGAGCAATAGCAGGATGGACACCTCCAGCAAAGGTCTCATTATCAGTGAATACAATGAAGACATCAGCAGGTGTGTTTGTCTTCTGAGCCCAGATCATTGGAAGAGAGCAATCAGTTCCACCTGCTGGGATCTAATTCAGAACAAAAGCATGAATAAATAAGTAAATAAATCCTTAAAAATACTAGTTTTTACAGTATCATTTTGTTTAGCACCAATATATACAGCCTTCCCAAAGCCTGCATATATATATTTTCGGTTTTTGTACTTGTCATGAGAAATTTAAGACAAAAAAATTTTTGTTCTCACAGATTAATACCATACATGACATCAATATAAAATCATTCTACATGTTATGTAAACTTAACTAAGTGAACTTAAAAAGCACAGTTTCTTACCTGACTCATAGCCATTAAAACCTGTTGTAAGGTCATATCTGTAGTCACTGGACATGGTACCATTTCATCGGAAAAAGCAACTACATAAGAATGTTTTTCTGTTCTTGTGACAACCTGAAAAATTCAATGGCAGTAATTTTCAGCAAATTTTGGGGGAAATAACAATATTTTGAATTTTATCCAACTTCATGTTTAAAAGAAACACTGATGTTTATTTCTTAACTTTTTATTAGTGTGTTTTAGAACTATACAGTAACAGTAGTACAGCTTTCAAAGTACTTTCACAAAAAAACTGGCTGTCATGACTATCCTTTGAAGCAAATACAGTAAATATTCTTCTCATTTTATTAGGTAAGAAATAAAGCCCCAGTAAAGAAGCTAAAAAGTTTGCCTACTATTCATCTGTTTGTTATTCACTGACAGTCAAGATAGAACTAAAGTCTCCTAGACACTCCTATTAGTTCCCAGATCTTTTAAGTTTCATATCATTAAATAATTTAAGTATTATTTTTAAAATAAGTTTTAAAAAATTTTTGTCTTTTTTTCATTTTATCTAAGCATTATCTACTTCCTAAAAAATCCATTAATATTTAATATTTTGTTGTAAAAATTAAAATTTCTATTCTGCTTGTTCTCTAGACATACTTTTTCAACACACTTAACACTTTGGCTTTACACCATTATCTTTAAATATAAAATAAAAAATGTGACAAGCTGAAAGGACAGAAAAAAGTGAAAACGTAATTCTTAATCATTATTTAACTTATAGTTTTGTTCTACAGTAAACATGTTTTTAGAGTGGCAAAATTGTCTTAGGTGTTCTCACCATGCACATTGCTGCAGCAACAGTACTAGCGTTGAGTATACTACCCAGAACTCTTTGGTTCATAGAAGCACTGACATCAACAGCTAGTAAGAAACGTTTTCCAGTTGGTTCAACTGTCTACAGAGAAAACAAAACAATCATCAAAAGCATAATAGAAATTATGAGTAGATTAAATTTCTAAATCATATTTACTTATCATCTTACATTAAGACTATAATAAAAGGCCTTCAGATTTTTGATATACCAATTGACAACTATTTAAAAATGCTCATCTGGCATAGCAGCTATGATTGAAAATTAAAAAAAAATAAATAAAAATGCTTAGCTTTTACAGGCAAAACAAACGAAGTAAGAACCTATTCAATAATTTTAGTTAAATAAGTTACCATCCTATTTTTTAAATCTTTCCTCATTGAAGTAAAATCAGAGTTTTTTAGTAAGAAATTTTTATTGTGGTAAAATGTAACATAAATTTGACCTTTTTAACCATTTTTAGATGTATAATTCAGTGGCATTAAGCACATTCACAATGTTGTATAACTATCACCTCTATCAATTTCTAGAACTTTTTCATCATCCCAAATAGAACTTGTACCAATTAGGTAATAACCCCCCAGTGCCATGTCTCTCCCTAGCCCCTGACAACTTCTATTCCACATTCTGTCTCTATAAATTTGCCTACTGTAGATACCTCATATAATGCAATCATACAACACTTGTCCTTGTTTGTCTGGCTTATTTTACTTAGTGTAATCTTTTCAAGATTTATCCATGGTGTAGCATGTATCAAATGTATTTCTTTTCTAAGGCTGAATAATATTCCATTATATATACCACATTTTGCTTATCTATCTGCTGATGAACATTTGGGTTGTTCATCAAAACCAGTTGTATTTCTATATACTAGCAATGAACAAAAAAGAAAATTAAGAAAACATTTGTTCACAATAGCATCAAAAATAAAAGACAAGAATACATTTAACTATTGGCTATTGTGAATAATGCTACTGTGAATATTGGTAAACAAATATCTGTTTAATACCTGTTTTCAATTCTTTTGGGTATATACCTAGAAATGGAATTGCTGGATGGTATGGTAATTCTACATTTAACCTTTTGAGAACTGCCAAATTGTTTTCCACAGGGGCTACACCATTTTACATTCCCACCATACACTAAGGTTCCAATTTCTCCACATTTTCCCCAGTTCTTGTTTTCTGCTTTTTTGATATTAGCTATCCAACTAGATGTGAAGTGGTATCACACTGTCATCTTGATTTGCATTTCTCTGATTATTAATGATGCTGAGTATTTTTCATGTTTTTTTTTTTTTTTTTTTTTGAGACGGAGTTTCGCTCGTTGCCCAGGCTGGAGTGCAATGGCACAATCTCAGCTCAATGCAACCTCTGCCTCCTGGGTTCAAGAGATTCTCCTGCCTCAACCTCATGAGTAGCTGGGATTACAGGCGCCCGCCACTACATCCAGCTAATTTTTTGTATTATTATTTTTTTTTTGTAAAGATGGGGTGTCACCATGTTGGCCGGGCTGGTCTCGAACTCCTGACCTCAGGTGATCAACCCATCTTGGCCTCCCAAAGTGCTGGGATTATAGGGCACCTGGCTCTTTTCATGTTCTTATTACTTATTTGTATATCATTAGAAAAATGTCTATTCAAGTACTTTGCCCATTTTTAAACTAGGTTGTTTGTACTTTTGCTGAATTTGTAGTTTTCAGTATTCTGGATATTAGGCACTTATCGGATATATGGTCTGCAAATATTTTCTCCCATTGTGTAGATTATCTTTTAGCTTTCTTGATAGTATCCTTTAATACACAAAATTTTTAAGTTTGATGAAGTTCAATTTATTTTTTCTTCTGCTGCCTGTGTTTTTGGTGTTTTCTAGTTTTAGCTCTTAAATTTAGGTCACTGATCCACTTTGAACTAATTCTTGTATTTGGTGTAAGATAATGGTCCAACTTCATTCTTTTGTATGTGAATATGCAGTTTTCCCAACACCATTTGTTGAAGATTGTCCTTTCCCCAGTGAATCATCTTGACACCCTCATCAAAAGTCAACTGACATCCTGGTGCAGTGGCTCACGCCTGTAATCCTAGCAGTTTGGGAGGCCAAGGTGGGTGGATCACTTGAGGCAAGGAGTTCAAGACGAGCCTGGCTAACAGTGAAACCCTGTCCCTACTAAAAATGGAATAAATTAGCTGAGTGTGATGGTGCATGCCTGTAATCCCAGCTACTTGGGAGGCTGAGGCATGAGAATCACTTGAACCCAGGAGGCGGAGGTTGCAGTGAGCTGATATTGCACCACTGCACTTCAAACTGGGTGGCACAGTGAGACTCTGTCTCAAAAAAAAAAAAAAAAAAGTCAACTGAACATATACGCAAGGTTTTAACTCTGGACTCTATTTCATTGGTCTATATGTTTATTCTTTTGCCAGTGCCACACTGTTTCGATTACTGCAAGTTTGTGGTAACTGAAAGAGTTACTGAAGAGTCCTCCAGACTTTGTTCTTTTTATAAAGATTGTTTTGGCTATTTGGGGTCACTTGAAATTTCTTAGGAATTTTAGAATGGGTTTTTCTATTTCTGTAAAACATGCCATTGGGATTTTGAAAGGGATTGCATTAAATCTGTAGATTGGCTGCTTTGGATAGTATTGTCATCTTAACAATATTAAGTCTTCCAATCTGCAAACACAGATGTGTTTCTATTTATTCATGACTTAATTTCTTTTAGCAGTGTTTTGTAGTTCTCAGTGTATAAGTCTTGCAGCTTCTTAAATTTACTCCTGTCTTTTATTTTTTGATGATATCGTAAATGGAAATGTTTTCTTAATTTCTTTTTTTGGATTGTTCATTGCTAGTATATAGAAATACAACTGATTTTTTATGTGTTGGTTTTATACCCTGTAACTTTATTGAATTCATTTTTTAACTTTAGAGTTTTTGGTGGATTCTTTAGCATTTTCTAAATACGAGATCATGGCATCTGAGGATAATTTTACTTCTTTATTTCCAATTGAGATGTCTTTCATTATTTCATTTTCTTGCCTTATTACTAGAACTTCCAATACTATGTGGAATTAAGGTGGAAAAACTGGGCATCCTTGTCTTTTTCTTGATTTTAGGGGAAAACATTACAATCACTGACCATTATGACATTAGCTATGGGGTTTAAACATTTTTGTTTTTTAAATCTCTGGCCTTTATCATGTTGAGGGAGTTAATTTCAGGTTTATATAGTGGTTTTCTTTTTATCACGAAAGAATGTTGAAATTTGTGAAATGCTTTTTCTGCATCAATAAGATGATCATGTGGTTTTTATCACTTCATTCTACTAATGTGATGTATTACATTGATTGGCTGTCATATGTTGCACTATCCTTGTATGCCACAGATAAATATCACTTGGTTATGGTGTGTAATCCTTTTATTTTGCTGCTGAATTTGGTTGCTAGTATTTTGTTATACAGCAAGACGTTTTAGCTTCTGTCTTTGATGTGAGATTTCCATTACTAAAAACCTCATTTTTTATCAAGACTGATGAGATGTATCTACCAATTAATGGGGAAAACAGAGGACCAAGTCAAAGGACCTGATAGGAAGGCAGATTTCTAAAGTTAGTGACATGCGTTGGATTTGTGTCTCCACACAAATCTTATGTTCACTGTAATCCCCAGTGTTGAAGGTGAGACCTGGGGGGAGGTGATTGGATCATGGGGGCAGTCTAATAGCTTAGCACCATATCCCCTTTCTGCCATGATTGTTGATATGGTTTGGCTGTGTCCCCACCCAAATCTCATCTTGAATTGTAGTTCCTATAATCCCCACGTGTTCAAGGGTGGGATCAGGTAGAGATAATTGAATCATGGGGGTGATTTCCCCTATACTGTTCTTGTGATAGTGAATGAGTTCAGATGAGATCTGAAGGAGCTTCCCCAACTTTTGCTCATCACTTCTTCCTGCCGCCATGTGAAGAAGGACGTGTTTGCTTCCCCTTCTGCCATGATTTTAAGTTTCCTAAGGCATCCTCAGAAGCAAGGCAGTAGCCACTGTGCTTCCTGTACAACCTGTGGAATCATGAGCCAATCAAACCTCTCTTGTTTATAAACTACTCACTCTCAGGTACTTCTTTATAGCACTGCAAGAACAAACTAATACAGTTAGTAACTTAAAAGTTACCAAAATGATCTTAGAATAATTAGTTGCTACCCAAAGGTAAAGAGAAATACTTTACTCATAAACTTACACGATATTAATTATATACCCACCTCATATGAACTAAAGAAAAACAAATGAATACCTAATTTAAAAATGATTAAACTATTAATACTACCTTTAAAATGTATTATTACAAAAGATATTAAGTCTTGAGTCATTTGTTTTAAAACAAAAATCATATCACTACCTTAAATGTTTTATAAAAAGCAGCATCCAATGCTTTCAAAATTTCTTCATCAGGGCGCCACTTCAGTTTTCCTCTTAGCCCATGACCTGTCTTGTAAGTTTCTAATGCGATCAAAATATGAAATGGATGTATACGAGCCTAGAAACAAAACAAAGTATAAAGAAAATTTTAGCAAAAAATAGTGATTATGTATACTCCTTAGATTTTTGTGTCATTGTAGCTAATAACTACATTTCATACAGCAAAGAGAAAAATGAAAATGTATTAAACTTACACTTAAGAGCCATAATGCAATTTGGTATAATGAACATCTCAAAATATCTTAAAAATGCACTGACTGCATTTCTAAAATTTAGGAGCCACTTTTTCAGTTAGTAGTAGCTAACAAAGAACACTGATAATGCTTACCTTTTTTAATAGTTTTTCATTACACAGTTTTTCACATACTAAAGATACTTCTGAATTTCCTGGTTCAAGCACTGAATTAGCAGTCATCTTTCCTAGATTCCTTAGTAATGCAGTAAGAGGCATTTCTTGTAACAAAGCCTTCCATACCTATTGCAATAACATAGGTAGAAATACCAGGAATTAAGGGAAAATAAATCAGTATAACACACCTATATCAATAAATATTCATAATATAGTCTCAGGCTTTCATTTGGGGTTCAGAGTACTTTCAGAATGAAAATGTCTAAGTCAAAGGCTTATCAAATAAGCTAAGTTTTTTTTACTAGAAAAAGGAAGTGAAGTATATTTTGTGAAGGAAATGCGTAGATGATTTTTTTTTTAATTAGCAAGGCAGTAGATTTTCTGGAGTGAAACTAACACAAACGCCACCTACATCATGTTGAACATCATGGTAGGTGTTTAAATAGACATTAATTTCAAGATACATTTTAAATAATTTTTCTTTTTAGAAGTATAAATATATAGCTACCCCAAGTTTATCCTTTTAGCACCTACAGTAAATTACTCATGTTTAATCACATGCTGTAACATATAATTCACTCACCTCTTTCGACTTTAAGTGATTTGTTAAAAGATGTTCTCTAACTAATCTATGTTCTTCTATTAGATGAATGACTTCTAGCTCATCTCTTGTGCGCTTCACTTTCTCTACAGCCTCCAGATACTTTAATAATTTTTCAGTCTCCACAGAGAGTGCTTTTTCTTTATACAATTCATGAACTTCTTTCCAGCCCTTTGTAATATATTTGGTCACAATTGCAAGTCCTTTAACAAGATAAAGAATTGAAAAAGCATGCAGGATTACCAAGTAAAAAAATAGAACATGTTTCCTCAAAATGCATTACATGAACAACACACAAGAGTTAATGCCCTTACACTGGGATGCTGCTTTCCATGATATAACAATTAAGCAAATGGGGTGAATTAATTTTCTTATTCAGTTATTACTATTTAAATACGAGACTTTGGAGTAAAAAAATCTGTATCCTGAGTAGTTTTATTACAGAGGCTTTTCTTTCTTTTCAAAGACACCAGCATTAGAAAGTTTCAGGTCCATAATCTCAGAACAACTCACAAGAGTACAGATATATCTCAATTAATATTGTATTATATTGTATTATCTTATATTAATTATATTCACTTGTCTCTCTTTGCTGTTGAATAAAATATGTATATTTACAAACAGCAGAAATAAGTAGAAGTGAACAGGTAGGTAGGCTCTTTTACACTGTGTTTTAATAGCTGAGAAGTATTACTGGTCCAAAGAAAAAAAAAGAAGAAGAAGAAGAAAACAGTAACTTGTTGATTCCCTCCACAATTTTTTCCAATAGAAGAAAGAGAAAAGAGCCTTGGATCGGGAGTGAGAAAATCTGGGTTCTAGGTTCTAGCCTATACTCTGCCAATAAATAGTGGTCTTTCTAGGTCTTAGTTTCACCACTTCTGTAACACAGCAGGGACTGGATTACAACATTAAAATGTCTATGAGGGAAGGGCAAATAAAATAAAGAAACAAAACTACCACGGTGAGGCCGGGCGCCATGGCTCACACCTGTAATCCTAGTACTTTGGGAGGTCAAGGTGTGTGAATCACCTGAGGTCAGGGGTTCGAGAACAGACTGCCCAACATGGCGAAACTCTGTCTCTACTAAAATTAAAAAATTAGCTGGGCATGGTGGCGCATGCCTGTAATACCAGCTACTCAGGAGACTGAGGCAGGAGAACCACTTGAACCCAGGAGGCAGAGGTTGCAGTGCGCCAAGATCACGCCACTGTACTTCAGCCTGGGCAACAGAGTAAGACTCTGTCTCAAAAAAACACAAAAAAACAAAACACCACCACGGTGATGTAATAGACAGTTGTGAGGGTGTGGTGACTGAACAGTGTGCCCTGACAAGTGGTGTAGCCATGTATCGACTTCGTGCTGCCAAAATAAAAAAAAATTACTTTCAAGAGAAGCCAGAATAGGAGTTTTTATGTCTTCTGATTTTTAAAGATGATGACAAAGAATTCATTTTTACCCTAAAATATTGTGTAGGCCATATGAAACACATCTCTATGCCAATTGAGCCTATTATGTTATTTTTGAATTCTAAATAACTTGATCAAAAGTTAACACTAACATGCAGGAACTTCTCAAGTATTGTGACTCTTGCTATCTTCCAGATTTTGTACAAAATCATCTTAAATGAGTAAATGTTTCATGTGAGTATATCTTCTATTTTGTTTTTCCAATGAAAATAAAAATTCCTTAAAGCAGCTTTATCCTACCCAGTTCTGTAATTGTGCTGGCCACACAGTGGGTGCACAATAAAAATACCATACCTGATTACTTGAACCACATTTTGACTTGTTTTATCGGTTATAAATACACATTACAGTTAAGATGTTAAAATACTATTAATTCTGCTGCTTACAGTTTTTCCAAATTTTTAAACTTCGAAATGTTAGGGATTCTCCATGTCCAATGTGATATTACTATTACTAACATGGTTTCAATTGTGAGTTCTGCCCTCAACAGTTTCAAATTAAAGAATCCTATGTGTGGAAGTAAGTTTAGGGAACATGTACTAATTCCTCATTATATAGACCAAAAAAACAAAGCACAGAATAATTATTTTCACAAGTTCAGAAACTGGTCCAATCAGACTAGTAATGGGCGGTCTTTCTCTTAGTCTATAGTACTTGCTCCACACTTCCAAGACACATCTCAACAAACAAATAAATAAAGCTGGATGCCTAAGTCCTTCTTACGTTGGATCAAATATTTGGATAAAAAATTTAAATATAAAAAATAATGTTTCTTAACCATGAAAATGTTAGGAAAAAACCACAGATAAGTATTTCAGGTTGGAAAAGGCCCTTCTAATCCTAACACAAAACATAAACCTATGAAGACACTGATAAGTTTGACTACATTAAAATTCCAAACTTTAGTGTGCCAGAAATGTCCCCCAACCAAAAAAAACAAGACAAAGGAAAAAAAAGAAAAATGCATGCACTGTACATAATAATCAACTCCTGTAATATGAACCCCAAGTTCTTAGAACAGTGTCTATCCATAGTAGGTGCTCAATAAATATTTGCTGAGGGCCAGGCACGGTGGTTCATGCCTGTAATCCCAGCACTTTGGGAGGCCAAGGCAGGCGGATCAGCTGAGGTCAGGAGTTTGAGACCAGCATTACCAACATGGTGAAATCCTGTCTCTACTAAAAATACAAAAGGTATATAATAAATATTTTTATATATAAAAATACAAAAAATATATATATACCTATATATAGATATATATACACAAAAATCAGCACATGAAAAGATGAGCTTCTGCCCAAAAATGTAAATTCAAAGAATCTTTCATGATTCTACTGAAATAGATTAAAAAATAATGACAACAGTCAGTGTTCAAATGTGGGTACACTGATCCTTCACATACTGTTTGTGGATTTAACCATTATGAAAGTATGTACTCTATGCAAGAGTTTGCACTGTAGTATTTTTGTAACAGTATAAAAAAACCAGAAACAACTGTTGTCAATAACAGTATAAAAAAACCAGGAAAAATTCTTGTCAATAAGAGACTAGCTAATAAATTACAGTCATACAATGGTATACATGCAACTATTTCAACTGACCTAAAAAAAAAACAGCAATAGCAATAGCAATAGCAATAATATACTTTTTACTGAAACATAGAAGGCATATAACAAAATTTAGTGAAACACAGTAATACATGTTTAGGAAAAATCTGGAATAAATTACAACATATCATATACAGCAAGAGTCCTCAACTCCAAGGCCATACACGGATACCAGTCCATGGCCTATTAGGAACTGGGTCGCACAGCAGGAGGTGAGCGGCAAGCAAGTGAGCTCCACCTCCTGTCAGATCGGTAGCTGGGCATTAGTCTCATAGGAGCGCGAACCCTACTGTGACCTGTGCATGTGAGGAATCTAGGTTGCGCTCTCCTTATGAGAATCTAATGCCTGATGATCTGAGGTGGAACAGTTTCATTCTGAAACCACCCTGCCCTCCCCACTGTCTGGAAAAACTGTCTTCCACAAAACCAGTCCCTAATGCCAAAAAGGTTGGGGACTGCTGATATGCAGTTATTTCTTTTGAAGAGTAGGACTGCGTCGTATTTTTCCGTATTATTCAACTATTTTAAAACATGTAATCTAATAAAATCAAAATAAAATACTTGTACATATAAATACTTGCAATTTATTGTTCACATTTCATTTGAAAAATTCCACTTATAATTAAAATGATAAGTTAGGAATTACTGAAGAGATTCTGTACATAAAGATATGTGTGGAAGGGAGAAAGAACCAAAGTATACTTCTACTATATGTTAGGTGCTGGGACATTTAGTCTCCATAATTGTAAGCTTATTCTCCTTACCCTCCTTCTTAGATGAAGGTACAGAAACTCTGCTTGTTACTTGGCTTAAGGCCACAGAACTGAAACGTGAACCCACCCTTCTGAGTGGCTGTCTTTTCAAGTTTCACTTCTGGTGCAAAAAAAAAAAAAAGGTCAAATTTTGTACATGTTGATTTTTGTGGAACTTCACACTTCAAATTGCTCCTGCCCAAGAGTTTTTCTTATTTCTTTCCTTAAAAGGACTAGTAATTATTATGGAGTCAACTAACTTTTCAAAAGTCTCTTTCCATAGATACAGAAAAACTGCCCCAAGTTATCAGGTCCCCTGACTGACTGCCTGAAAACAATTAACTTCCTGAATTGTTAAGTTCAGCACTGTATAAGGTATATCCCTTTAGGTTCCAAGGAACACACGTCCTAGGAAGATGGGGAGGAAAAAAAAAGAATGGGCTAGAGAAGTGGGTACAGCATGGTCATCTGCCACCTACTGGCAAGGAGCTGTTTTGCTTATTGCAATTTTTTTTTTTTACTTTTCTACTTAGCATTTCATTGGTTACAGAGCAGTTTTCTATACATGATTTTATGGAATAGTTGTGTACAGTTTACCTAAGTTTTACAAACAATTATACTGAGACCAAATTTGAATATCTGCTGAGTAACTGGCAAAGTTGGAACTCAAAAGCAGTTCCTTCTAATGATTGTACCCATATCCAAGGATTATTGCAACTTTTAATCTGTCCATGCTACTTACGCAGTTCACAATCACTTGGGTGAGCATTCCAGTTAGGACGGTGGCACTTTAAGATTCAGATTATTAATCTATAAACCTGTCATTTGATTCTTGATTATTAATGTCTGGATTGCCTGTGGTAGGTGTGTAATCCCAGGAAGGCATTAAACATTTGAATTAATGCATGTTTTGAGAATGAAAGGCTATTTCTAGAAAATATTACACACTTGTCTTATGTTAAATAAAAATTTGCTATTTATTGGATATCCCTTATCCACCCTTGTTCCCAATGAAGATCTTATGCTTACCTTCACTGGAAGGTTTAAGATGTGACAATCTTAATAGATCTTTGTGAGACCAGCCATTTCTCTGTTTATATTTTGTAACTGCCAGAGCAAGGGCCATGCCACCTTTCTCGTTGTACCAGTCCGCTATAGCCTTCCGGAGGGCACGACCCCACATGCCACATTTCATGCTTTCCTTCAGATCTTTCTTAAACTGGATAAAAGTAAAGAGATGGGTAGGAATGCGGCAAACTTCAGAAACAGCTTTAAATGCTGCTTGTTTTGTGCTTATGTCGGAGCACTGGGAACAAATGGCAAGTGCAAAGAGCATAGGCTCTTGCTTTGTGGTTCTGCCTTCTTGACTAAATAACTTTATTTCTTGTATCACTTCACATCCTCTGCCATCTTCAATCAATCTAATTAAAGCTTCAGCATTTTCAAGGCCCAACTTCTGTTCTTTGATATAATAAGTCCCACCTTCAGAACCGAAACATAAGAACCGGTGTAGTCGATTCATGTCAGTGACTTGCCATACATATCCATCCTGAGAATTGGCTATCTGCTTCTCATTCAATGGCTGCATTTGGTTTACGGATTCCTCCATTTTTTTTTTTTTTGTCTTTAGGAAACCTATCAAAAAGGCAAAATGTTATTACAACTAGATGGGCACAATAAAATTAAGAAAGGAAAACAAAATGTAGGTTTACTGAAATGTTATTAACTCTTTTAACAACATCTTTTAAGTTCGATAGTTTTTCCCTTAGTACAAAATCAATATAAATGTCCTGAAGAAAAATCAGGAAAGGCAGAAAATGAAAGAAAAAAACCATAGCTGAATATTTTGAAATGACTACTGGTAATATCTTAAGTTTTTTGTTTTTGTTTTTTTCATTTTTTTCTTGAGACAGAGTCTCGCTCTGTCACCCAGGCTGGAGTGCAGTGGCCGGATCTCGGCTCACTGCAAGCTCCGCCTCCTGGGTTCACGCCATTCTCCAGCCTCAGCCTCCCAAGTAGCTGGGACTACAGGCGCCCGCCACCTCGCCCGGCTAGTTTTTTGTATTTTTTTAATAGAGACGGGTTTTCACCGTGTTAGCCAGGATGGTCTCGATCTCCTGACCTCGTGATCCGCCCGTCTCGGCCTCCCAAAGTGCTGGGATTACAGGCTTGAACCACCGCGCCCGGCCGGTATCTTAAGTTTTTAAAATGTTTTTGCTTTATATTCCTATTTTTATAACCTAAAGAAACTGAAAGCCCTTCACAGCAAACAAACAAGATTATAGCCACAGTGGTGTGATAATCAGAAGCAACTGAGGAGTCACCTTTTTGAGATACAGTGTGCTGCTTCAGAGATTAAGCAGGCAGGTTAGTATGGCGTCTTGAGGCCCATACAGAGAATAAAAGAAGGGAGGGCAGCAATAGTAGTGGGTACTAAGAAAGATCGTACACCTTGAAGAATTGTGTAAACATTTTTGGTTGCCGATCTAACGTTCATTCTTCCCCCTTCTCTCTTCTCCTCTTGTTGGCCTCATATCCTTCAAAGGAGGCTAGGCCTTTCCCTAGCCCCAAGGGATGGATCTTTATTGCTCTAAGCCAGTGGTTCTCAAACTCAGTGTACATCAAAATTACTAGAAGTTCTAACTGAAACACAGATTGCTGGGTCAGCCCTCCCAGGCACTGCCCTGAGTTTCTTTCATAATTTAGTAGGTCTCCAGTGAGGCCTAAGCATGTATACTTATCACAAGTCTCAGGTGATGCTGCTGCTGCTGCTCGACCCAGGCCCAATAATCATGGTGCTCTCCTTGCCGCATGACTGGTATAGGGAGCTGGGCATGTGTCATGACTCTGGCCAGTATGACATGGTAAATCAGCTGAGAACACTTTTGAGGTTTTCTTCATTCTCAAAAGGGGGCTCAGGCTCTTAAAAAGAAATGTTCCCTTTTCTGCCTTCTGACATTTTCATTTGCAAGTCATGCCTGAAGTGGTAACAACCATCTTGAGACCTTGAGATAAGCCAGCTTAAAATGGCACACCAATATATAAAGATGGCAGAATAGAAAAAAACAGAAAGTACCTAGGTCCTTGATATTGGGTTACCTGAAACTGCCCTGCTTATACATTTCCTATTATGTCATAAATGTATCTTACTGTTTAAGCCATCTTTAGGTTTATTGTTTTATGTCATCTGTAACTACTCTCACTCTACTCCTTCCATTAGCTCTAAAACTCCTAGAACTAGCTATCTGGAAACAATATCCCTCTTTATCCTTCTAGTGGAGGACCAACAATTGTCACTTCATCATCAGTCCACTACTAAGTACAGTATCACTGTTTATGGAGGTCCTTCAATCTGTCATGTTATTTCGGTGCACTGGGCTTCTGTCCATGGCAAACAAAACAGCACAACCAACAAAAACTTCAACCAGCATTTACTGAATAGATACTATGTGTGAGACATGAAGGCAATTTCTCTGCCATTAAAGAAACTGAAAAAAAAATTGTTCTCCTGATCGCAGGGAAATACACTCATTTGTGGAGATAGAATCACAATGCAAACTGTAATTAAGTGCTGTAGTAGAAAAGTATTATGAGTGAGCAAGGGAGTATAAAATAATACTGTCTAAATAATCCAGAAAGATTTGAGCAGAGAAGGCAAACTAAAAAACTGATAAAGTTTAGGGAAGGCGCTCCAGGAAGAGGTTTCTGAAATCCTGATCTGTCTTTATATTCTAGAAAAGAAACTGTCTAAGCATCCTGTAGAGCCATACAGACATGTTGACAGATATGGCCATAACTTAAAGAGGAACACAAGGTAATTAAGAAGTTTTGTTTTGAAGACCATCCTTACTTGAACATGTTTATATATTACGAGGAAGGCTAAGGATAAAATCTTGGTGAATATTAACAACTAAGAGCTAATGAGAGAAGGGCTTTTTAAAGAGAGACAGAAAAGGAGGTGCACAGAGTTGAAGAAAACTAATGGACCACGAGGAAGAGAACTTCAAGGAGTGAATGGTTGGTAATTTCAAATGGTCAGAGGAAAAGTAAATAAAAGGCTAGAAAATGATCATTGGATTTAGCAAGTAGGAGTGACTAGTGAGAGTAACTGCAGTAGAGTGGTACAAGAAGTAGCTTGATTACAGTGCGATCAGGAAGATATGCAGTGAGGAAACTTCACAGCTAGACTACTCTTTGTAGACACAAAACTATGAATGAAAGTAAGAGAGAGGATGGGACTTAGAGGAAAAATCTTTTTACCTTTTTCAACGGGAAGATGCTAAGATTGAAAGATTCAATTTGGAGAGGTGAAAATACAGTAGAGAAGGGATAACTGAAGGAATTAGATTCCTGAAAGAAATGAGACAGAATGATCTTAGAGCATCCAGGTTGAGACTGGCCTACTAACAGCAAAAGAGATACTTCCTTTATCTTTTAAGGGTAAAGAGTATACGTAAAGAGAGATTTGAGGGAGTGGGGGATAAGGAAATTGAAGACATTCCCCTCTGACAGGAGATGTAGAATGCCAAATGGTATGTGGAGAAATTTGGTAGAGATGGGAGGAATGAAAGACTGGGTCTCAGAGAGGGGAACACACAGTGGTGTAGGGGGATAAGTGCATGGAAAAATGGAGAACCTCACGTTGTGAATGTGACCGTGACTGAGGGGTACAGTGATCTGAATTGTGTTGGGAATATTAGTGTCAATATTCCAAATAAGATTCTAGTACAAATTTGCTTATGTTAGTGGACGGCTGGGTCTCAGGTAGTATCAGAGATGTAATGATCATATTAGTCATTAGGGACAAATTTATAGTTACTGAATACAGCACAGGCTGGAACTCCTGGTGTAGTGGATGCCTCTTCTCCTATTTATTATTATCCTCTTTTCAATTTGGCTTTTATCTCTACCTTTCGATCCAAAACACTTTAAGAAGACTAACATGCTTCACAAAGACTGACACCTTAACTGCCAATTCCAGTAGAAAATGCTATGTTTTTCTGGTCTTCACATTGCATAGACTCTGCTAGTCTCTCCCTTAGCTTTCATAAAAACAGTCTCTGGTGGCACTTCAACCTGTCTACTTCTGCTAATTAGTTATATTTGTTAGATGAGTAACACTGAAATGACATCTAATATCAGATAATTCTACTACACCTGCTTTCCTGCACCAAGGACCAACTGGTGGGATTTAAAAGGTCCCAAACCAAACCTCAAAATTCCCTTCCCCTTCAAATTCTTTTCTTTGTATTATTCATTGTGACCACATGTAGCTACATTATTGGTTCCCTTGAGAGTAGAAAACAAATCTTATCATTTTTGTCTCCTCTTCTGTATTGCTTTTATGTAATTAGTAATACATACTTAAAGCCAAATATCATTAAAGTTGACTTTCTGAATCATTTCCCAAATAATCATGCACAATTGGTTTCTCTTTCCCATAACACATTTTGAGAATAAAAGCCTCAATATGTGTAATTCAATACATAATACAAGTCTTTAAGATAAATTCTGTAATCAGAATGATAAATGTACTATATGCAGGTAGTGAAGAATATAATCAAGAAAAAAAAAGTTTTAAAGAAAAGTAGTGAATGCTGAATAAAAATGTCATCTAAGAACAATATTTCTGTTTTTCTAATATATTTAATACTAGGTATTCAAGTACTTTTCTAGAGCAAGCAGCAAAATGAACTTCTAAATCTATAAAGGATGTCTAAGAGGTAATCTCTAAGTGTAATCCTTATAATCCCTATTAGAAGAAATCAAGTTATTTATTCACAGACTCTTCCTTTTGCATATTATGATATAAATGACAACCCTGAGGACATACCCTTTCAGTTTTTCTGCAGCAGAAAATGCTTAGCTTCTCCTATGCTTCTGCGACTGTACTTTCCAGAGTGCAACATAAAATAGTGGAACAGATAACATTATTAGCAGCCAGGACACCTTTCTACCTTATTGTATAAATTTACCAGGGTCATATTCATATTTTAAAAGACAGAAGAGAGAGTAACATGTCCCAAGCTACCCTCCTTCTTGTCACTGAGTGTCATACACAAATAAACTCAAAATTTGGCAAAGTGATATGATACTGTAGCATCTTATAAGAGAGAGTATCTGGTCTTTGTACATAATACCCAGCAGAAAGTTTCAAAAACCTTTGGTATTTCCTGAGAAACAGGAGTGTCTTTGTTACATTAATGAGGCAACATGGGCCCCTAGGAAGCTTCAGGATGGGGCCTAGTCACTAGAAAGACCAACCATATGTTTAGAGGAATAAACTGGTCAAGCCAACCTTCTAGGAAAGGAAGAGGACTTGAGATCGAGTTCAGTCACGCAGCTAATGATTTAATCAATCATGCCCATGTGACGAAACCTCATAAAAACTCTGTTCATCAATACTCTGTGGAGCATCCTTGGTGAACAAAAACTGATGTGCTGGGAAAGTGATGTGCCCACATTTCACAAGGATGGCATGGAAGTTCTGCATCCTTTCCTTGCCCTAAACCTTGCCATATGTGTCTACTTCCTGTTTGGCTGTTCCTGAGTTGTATCCCTTTTAATAAAACTGTAACTGCAAGTAAAGCACTTTCAGTGAGTTATGTCACTCATTCTAGCGAATTATCAGCCTTGAGGGGATTATGGGGAGTCTTGAAATTGTAATCCACAGGGCAGAAGTGTGAGTAGCCTGGGGACCCCATTTACAGCTGGCGTCCAAATTAACGGCATTCTTAGTGGGGACCTTGTCCTTTAATTTGTGGGATCTGATGCCAACCCTGGGTAGCTAGTGTCAGAACTAAACGGAAGTGGGGGGCACCCAGCTGGTGTTACAGAATTAGTGTTTGAATGTAGACACCAAAGGCAAAAGTGACAAAATAAAAAAATAAACTGGACTTTATCAAAATGTAAAACTTGTATTTCCAAGAACACCATCAAGAAAGTGAAAAGACAATCCAAGAATAGAGAAAATATTTGCAAATCATACATATGATAAGGGACTTGTATCTAGAATATACTAAGAACACTTACAACTTAATAAAATGATAAATAACCCAAGTAAAAATAGGCAAAAGATGTGAATATTACTCCAAAGACATACAAATGGGTAAAGAATCTGAAAAGGTGTTTTTCCAAAGAAGATTATCCAATGGCCAGTAAACACATAAAAAGACAATAAACATCATTAGTTATCAGGGAAATGCAAATCAAAACCACAATAAGATACCACTTCACAACCACTAGGATGGCTATAATCAAAACAATAATAATAAGTGTTGGTAAGGATTTAGAGAAAATGAAACGCTCATATACTGCTGGTGGGAATGTAAAATAACACAGCCACTTTGGGAAACCGTCTGGCAGTTTCTCAAAAGGTTAAATATAGTTAGCATGTGACCCAGGAATTCCACCACGCACCTAAGAAAAAGGAATACATGTATCTATACCAAAAGTTGTACACAGATGTTTTTATCAACATTATTCATAACAGTCAAAAAGTAGAAGCAACCCAAATGTCCATTGACTGATGAAGGGATGAAAAAATATGGTACATCCACACAATGGACTATTATTAGACAATAAAAAGGGATGAAGTACTGATACATGACACAATGTAAACAAACGTTGAAAACATTATGTCAGGTGAAAGAAGCCAATCACAAGAGGCCACATATTGTATTACAATTCCATTTACATGAATTTTCCAGAGTAGGTAAATTCATAGAAATAAAAAGTACATTAGTCTAAGGTGGTCAGAGGCCATGGGGAAGGAACACTGGGAAGTGACTGCTAATGGGTAGATTTCTTTTTGGGTGATGAAAATGTTCTGAAATTAGTGGTGATGACTGCACAACTCTGTGAATATACTAGAAACCAATGCACTGGATACTTTAAAATGGTAAACCTCATGATATGTGAATTATATTCTAAAAATCTATTATTAAAAACACAAAAACTGGCCAGGTGAAATATATTTGGAAAGTTATTTAAATAAACAAGCACTTAAATAACCCTGCTATTATCTATATCATAATAGAGAGCACCAATACAATTGATTACACAAAAATTATATTTAGCCCTACAATTTTTATATTTGACTTTTAAAAGCAATTTGAGATACACACAGACATACACAGCAACTTAATTTCTTCTTTCTCCAACTGCCATCATCTCCTGCCTCAAAGCTTAAGCTCCATTATCAGTGGTTTAGAAGGCAATTGGGCAGTGAGTGAGGTCAGAACCTGGTCATCAGTTAATCCATTCCTGGATAATCAAGTGTTGTAAATCCAGATTAACAACAAAAAAATATATAGCTAATTCTTTGGATGGGCCTGACCTATCTATCTAGTGCCCTTAAAACACACCATAAAACTAATGTATTAAATCTCTATAAATTAAATTCTTGAGAAGTTAAATATTACAATACCATAATATTAAAAGCATGGCCACATTTTTCTTTTTTGTTTTTTTGAGACAGAGTCTCACTCTGTCGCCCAGGCTGGAGTGCAGTGGCGCAATCTTGGCTCACTGTAACCGCCGCCCTACAAGTTCAAGCGATTCTCCTGCCTCAGCCTCCCAATAGCTGGGATTACAGGCACCTGCCACTGTGCCCGGCTAATTTTTTGTATGTTTAGTAGAGACGGGGTTTCACCATGTTGGCCAGGCTGGTCTTGAACTCCTGATCTCGTGATCCACCTGCCTAGGCCTCCCAAAATGCTGGAATTACAGGTGTGAGCCACCGCACCGGGCCAAGCATGGCCACATTTTAAATTGGTTGTGGATATTTTATGCATTGTTCATTTCTCTACTTTTAAAATTTAATTTAGAATGCAAAATCAGGAAATGCTAATAAAACACATTATATAATAGCACTTGTTTCACAATCATCAGAACTACAGCATGTACAGTATCTTCTATCAGTACTAATATGTTATTTCCAAGGAATCCTACATTTTTCTTGAATTTACACATCTCAACATCTTTCCAAAGTCTCTTGATAATTTGAAAATGCTGCCTTTCATCTCAAGAAGTCAAAGACATTTGCAGATTATTCCTTTTTAAATTAAGTCAAAGATTTGTCAATCTATGAGAGTGCACGACAAATGTAAAGAAACAATACTACAAAAATGGGCCCATGATAGAGGTTTGCTTACCCATGATACAGGTATTTGAATCCACTGATCAATGTGATGCTATAAAAACTGATGAGGAAGGAACTGTGGCAAAAATGACAGCATGCTAGTCTGAGGGGAGCTGCCAACCGGTTGCCACGTGGTATGGAACTAGTAGTTGCCAGATCTCATTTTTCTCAAAGACCCAGAAATCTGGCTTTTTATGGAAACTCTCAGAATCAAATGTTAACATAATGAAAGACATTTTAACCCCCTCCTCCGCTTACTTCTAGATTGTGCCAAAAGCTAAATTTTCAGTTTGGTCTACAATACGTACCATGTTAATTAAGTTGGGTATCAAATAAATTTTAGTTTTGATGCATTCTGCACAGAAAACAGTTTGAAGTTCATAGCAATATTACAGATTTAAAAAAATACCACAAACTACTTCGGGCTCTGATGCCAATCATTCTGGACTCTTGTGCCTCTTAAACCTTTCCAATTAAGTATCTCAAGGAAATACACTGAACAGAATCCCCCCACTCTCCAAGTTGAGGGCAGAGTTTTCGGAGATAAACTTCAAGAAAGTTACAAAAAAAATTTTTTTAAACCAACACTTCATACAAATTTTGGCTTCTACCCCATAACGTACTCAGGCTTCTTTTAATACAAAAGCTGCTCTGTTGCTTCCCTCATAAAATTTACCATGTTTATTTCGAGGCTTCACATAATCCGTAGCACAAGGCTCCCTAACTCCAGGGCACAGGTCACCTATTTGAGAAGGAAGGAGTCAGAGTTTTATCCACTAAAACTTTTTTTTTTTTTTCCTGGAAGCCAAGGGTCTTTCTTGGAATATGCAGCTTTTAAGGAGTAAATATACACTTAAAGACTTTAACAAATACACTCTTAAAAACTTCAATCTTAACACTATAGAATTCTGTGAGAGCCTGTTGAATGAGGGCAATTTAGTAAATATTGGGTTTTAACTCATCATCCAGTTTTAGAACCATTCCAAATGTTTTTAGATTAATATACGACATTTGTTTTCAACCTAATTTTCCCTTGACGCATCGCATCCCCTTCCACCAGTCTAGCAGCCCCATGGACTGTAGGACAGACCTTTCTCCTCTCCCTCGTTACTCCCTCTATGATAAATTCGCCTTGTCTTCCCACAAAGATCCTTCTTCCAAAACCCAGATCCTGGGCGACGCCTCTCCGCGCAGAAGCCGCGGGAGGAGGAGAAAGAGGAGGAGTAAAGCAGGCCCTCTCGACGTCGGCCTGCGGGGAGCGATGCCGACAAGCAGGAGCGGTCCCGGCTTCGGAAAGGGCCCACCCTCAGGAATGGTCCGGCCAGGCCTAGCGAGGATGTCCCTACCGCGATGCTGGTTCCGTTTCCCAGGATGGGCAGGCGCGGAAGCGAGGCGGCGAAGAGCGATAGTTTCGCGGCGTTTGCCCAGCCTCAGCCCCTGGGATGCGGGTGAGAGACATGGAGGACTGGTCAGACTTTGCGCGTCCCTGGGGCCGCTCACACAGCACAAAAGGCTCCCAGCCGGCTTCCCGCAATGTCCTCACCTGTGCCTGGCAGCCGACCCCCACCTGGACCCGCAGCGCCGCCAGGAGAAGTCCTGCGCAGCGCTGGGAAACGACAAGAGACAGCAGACCGATAGGCAGCGACAGCGACAGCAACAGCCCCACTGCCGCCGGGGAATTCCAGGTTCGGTTCCCGGGAACGAGTCCCGCCCCTCTTCTTTTGCCCCGCCTCCGCCCCAGTGGGGCGAGGATCCCGGATGTTACCTCCTTCGGCGCTCTGAATCTCCGCCCTTTCTTCTCAGGCCCCAGCCCTTCCGAATCCGCTACGGGTGCTGCAAGGCCTGGGAAGAGTTTCGATGTCTCTAGGGTGGCTAGAGCGTCCTCGCGCGCTTCGTCGCGCTGCAGGTGACGGCGCCCGGAGGCTGTCGGGAAGTAGGCGGGGTGACGTGTGGTGGACGAGCTCGGCGGCGGGTTTGCTGAGATCTGTGGCTGGCGGCAGCTGGTGCGGGGGGCGGCCGAGAGCGAGAGGTGGATCGGGGCGGTGTGTGGCCGGGGCCATGACGGGCAATGCCGGGGAGTGGTGCCTCATGGAAAGCGACCCCGGGGTCTTCACCGAGCTCATTAAAGGATTCGGTGAGAACCTAGGGGACCGTCCTGGGCCTGGGGTCACGGGAGGAGGCCCAAGCTGGGCATGGAGTGGTTCCCTGCGGCCACCGCCGCCCCGCATCTGGAGAGGTGACTTCAGGAAGCTGGAGTCCGGGTGGGGGAAATGTAGGTTTTCTGCCCTCGAGACAGTCGCGTTTCCACAGTAATTTGAAGAGCCACACCACGAGGGCAAGGATCGTGTCTGTCTTGTGCCTGCTATATCCTCAGGACCTGGCACCCAAATCCTGTAATTGACTTGAGGACCCTCGCTCCCCAAGCTCTTAAAGCACATACTGCCCTTTCCACTGCCCCTTCTCTGCGGCGCGCACCTTATCCCGGGCTGGTGTGGTCAAGTGCATTGCTCAGGCCATTAGTCCTGCAGGAGCCACCCTAGGGTGTGCCTTCTCAAGGGTGAGGTGTCTGCGGCCTAAGCCGCCCAGGAACTCGAGATTCTGGTTACTCAAAGCAGAACGCCCTGAATGTGTGAATAGCTCTTCGGGACGTCCACACACGCCGACTGCGTGGGCCTGAAAGGCCACTTCACTGGTTCCGCTCTCTGCTCATTTCTGTCTTCCGGTGAAGTGAGTTTTCTTGAGCTAGTGTTCTAGACTAGAGGCCACATGCTTTCCTCACAGTTTCTCTCTGGCTGTGTTTAGTGCCTTCCGTCCTAAATAATCAGCACATTTGACTTTTTATCCTTCCCTATTTATCTTTAGTCTCTTCTTTGGACAGTACGTTTTTATCTGTTACATTTCCCAAGTATTATTGATTCTACGATGTTAAAACTTTCACGCGGGATAACAAACGTTGATGTAGATATTGCCTATTGTACATAGCTTAATATTTGGAATGTCATTTATCAAGCATATGTTGTTCATCTGTATCTCAGGCACAGTGGTAAGGATTGGGAAATTTTCTTTTCTTTTCTTTTTTTTTGAGACAGAGTCTCGCTCTGTCGCCCAGGCTGGAGTGCAGTGGCGCGATCTTGGCTCACTGCAAACTCCATCTCTCGGGGTCAAGCGATTTTTCTACCTCAGCCTCCCGATTAGCTGGGATTACAGGCACGCGCCACCAGGCCGGGTAATTTTTTTCTATTTTTAGTAGAGACAGGATTTCACCATGCTGGCCACGCTGGTCTCGAGCTCCTGACCTCGTGATCCACCCGACTCAGCCTCCCAAAGTGCTGAGATTACAGGCGTGAGCCTCTGCGCCCAGCCAAGGATTGGAAAATTTCCATGTGAATAAACCATAACTGCTGTTTTGAAGAATTGGTAGACTATAATATGGTGTGTTAATTGCTATATTAGAGTATGTACAAAATATTATAAGTACACAGGTCGTGGAGGAGCACAGGCAGAAGGAAAAACATAAACAGTAGTGATGTTAAAGTATATGGCTTAGCGAACAGCTAGCAAAGTGACTAGAACGTAATGTAACAGACTGGAGGAATATTTATTTGCATCTGAAACTGAAAAGATAAACCGAGACCAGATTGTATCCCATGTTGTATAGTTTGCATTACCCTGTAGTGACTGGGGATTTACCTATCAAATATATTTTAATGCTGAAATGACATTCATAATTAAGGTTTATTGTGCTTGTAAGTGTGCAGGGCAGGTTGGAATAAAGTGAGGGAAGCTAGACATCTCTTAAAATGGTTGGAGTCTGAGATGACTGGCTAAACTAGTGGGTTAGGAAGGAGGAGTTAGATTCAATAAGTTTACTGTATTTAAATCAGCAGTTGCATGTGGAAATGTCTGCTCTTCATTCCTTTGGGAGCAGAAATACATCCATATCATGCTAAATTAAAAAAGGAGTTCTCAGGGCTGCCAACCTTACAGTAGAGGTTGAGTGGTAGTATATTACTCCTACATGAGAGAAAAAAAAAATCAAAAGGACTGCTTACTAGACGTTGGGGAAAAAAGAGGCAAAAATAACTCTCTGGTTTCTAGCCTGGGTGGCTGGTGAAACGCAATTACAAGTGACAAGCAGGCTTGATGGACAAGAAAATGGATTCAGATTCGGACAGACACTGAGTTTGACATGTCTGCAGATTTAGCCATATATTGCACCCTCAAAACCTTAACAATATGTTAAAGTTAACTTTCAGAAATGTTGTACTAGGTAAGTTTGTTTACTCCTTCAATTTCATATGTGCAGAAAAATTGGAGATCACGCATGAAAGAATGATATATAAAATCATCTTCTGTACAGGCACACATGAAAAAGCAGTAACTATTAATAAATTGGCTTCATTAGCAGAAGAACCTGCAAAAAGTTAAATGATGGTAGTTTTATGTCACCGTCGGATGCTTCAAAGAGAAAATCAATTTATTCCAATTATTTCCATCATTTTCATTTTTTTCACCCAATTTATACATTTAAAAAAGCTTTTGGCTGTTGATTCTTTCAAAAATGAAATATCTGTATTGTGAATGCTGTCATAAATTCATTTCAAAAGTTCCATCATTGAAAGGGAAATGAATTGTAGATGCAGTTAAGTATGTAAATACAGAGTTTGGTGGAATGTAGTATCTTTAAATTAAGAAACTGGTGGAGCAGAACTGTACTTTTAATTGGTATGGTCCATACATAATAACAAATGTGTGCCAAAACAAACCGTGATGGTCTGTTAATAAAAACAGAAGTTATAAACATTTGGTTACAGTCAAGATAGAGTAATGGGGACTGGATTCATTTTTCTTACAACAAACCAATGACCCCGGCTTTCATTTTATTATAAGAAAGTAGAAGACGAGAGCACACTAAACCTAAAGTAAGCAGATGACAGGAAATAATAAAGATCGGAGTTGAAATTAGTGGAACAGAAAAGAGAAAAAAAATGGAGAAAATACATGAAACTAAGAGCTCTTTTTTGGGGAAGATCAATAGAATCACTGTAGCCAGACTGATCAGAAAAAAGAAATATTCCTGTATTTCAGTGTAGGAATGAGAGAAGTGACATCACTACAGATGCTACAGATACTAAAAATAATATTATGAACAATTTTATGCCAATAAATTTGACAATTTAGATGAAATGTACAAATTCCTTTAAAGACACAAATTACCAATGTTCACTTAAGAAATAGATAACCAGTATATGCCCTGTATTTATTAAAGAAATGGAAATTGTAGTTTAAAATTTTCCCACAAAGAAATTCTAGCCAAGGTGGATTCACTGGTAAATTCTATCAAATATTTAATAATATAAATAATACCGATTCTACACAAACTCTTCCAAAGTAATTGGAGAGGAAGGAGGGCTTCCCAATTCATTTTCTGAGGACCAGCATTATCCTGACATCAAACCAGACAAAGATATTACTAGAAAAGAAAATTACAGACCTATATCCATCATTAACTTAAATGTACAAATTTTAAACCATTTTACGAAATTGAATTTAATAATTCATTCAGTGGACAATACATCATGACTAAGTGGGATTTACCCCAGGAATTTACCAGGAATTTAGGATTGGTTTAACATTTAAAAATCAATGTAATGCACTATATTAATAAGCCAAAAAAATAAAAAATATGATTATGTCAATAGATGGAAAAGGCATTTAACAAAATCTAACATCTATTAAGAATTATGAAGTGTTAGATTTTATCCTGCTTGCCAGCAAATAAGTTGGCTTGCCAGTTTCATAGATGCTAGCAGACAACTTTTGGTTTAGAGATAAGGGTTGTATTACTCATAGCATAGTAGGCAGCAGGAGATTCATTTTCACATTGGTTCCCATTTCCTCCGAGTCCATGAGGATGGAGGTGGGCTCTGGTGGATGCTGCACAAGTAGTGAGGCTGTATTGCAGCTGAGGAACTCTGAGATAGAGAACTAATCTTACAAGGAAGCTGCTAGCAAACCTGCTCAACTTTTGCCTTTAGGGACACATTATCTTTATTAGCAAATCAGCCTTCCCTCTGCCTCAAAAAAAGGTGCTATCTCTGTCTTCCAACTCTGTTTACTGTATGAACATCCTTGAAAAGATGGTCCAGAGCAAAGCTGGTAATTTCTTGCAGAAGATGTGCAGAAACAGGAGAAACCCATTGGAAGACAATTCTTCTAACAATATCCAGCCTTCTTTCTACACCAAATAGCCATTCCCTCAGCCATTCTGCTCAATATGACCTGACCAACAGGGTTGGTGCCAAATCTGTTTAATTTGTGTCTTTATAATGTTTACAGTAAAAAACCAGATGACTTTCTTGGATTTTTGTATTGACATTTCCTCTTGGCTCAAAATATTAATCCCGGGACAGCAAGATATATAAGGGATTTTGCAGACTCCACCTTGTCATGCAAGGAGGAAGAATAATTCCATCATCTATAACAACTCTGACCCATGAGTTATGGCAGATTTGAATGACTTTTGGGTCCAACATGTTGTTTCCTTAACATGAAGCTCTATTATGACTGCTCCTAAGGTACATTTCGCCTTGTTTTGAGGAGAGAGATAATGCCTGGCTTTCACACAAGAAGTCTTGGGGTGCACATGGTGCCCCTGGAAGCAAGTGTTGCTTACAATTGTTACAGCCCCTAAAATGGTACCAGCTAAGTTTAGGGGTACAAGGTAACAGTGCCTGCAATTTAGGGCTCCCACTTTAGTTAAAATAATTGGGTGTAGTCTTTGTTTAAGGAGAGACTACCTGAGTGCTGTCAATCCAGTTTTTCCTATTTGGTCACATCATCAGCCAAATGGAGTTTATTTGTACCATGGAATGACTGAGAGTGGGGTTGTGGAAGACATATGGGAGTGTTTTTTTACAGAGGTGCAGAAGCTGGGGCCATTCTTGCTGCTTCTGATTTATTGGTAGGGTTAGGGGAATGACAAATTGTCAAAACTGTCTGTTGGAAGATAGCATACCTAGCAGTCAGTTAAATTTAACACATTGACAACAGTTTGGGAGAACTCCATGAGCATTTTCCTTGGGGCTCCAGGTTGATTTTTTTTGTTTGTTTTTGAGACGGAGTCTCACTCTGTCACCCGGGCTGGAGTGCAGTGGCCGGATCTCAGCTCACTGCAAGCTCTGCCTCCTGGGTTCACGCCATTCTCCTGCCTCAGCCTCCCGAGTAGCTGGGACTACAGGCGCCCGCCACCTCGCCCGGCTAGTTTTTTGTATTTTTTAGTAGAGATGGGGTTTCACTGTGTTAGCCAGGTGGTCTCGATCTCCTGACCTCGTGATCCACCCGTCTCGGCCTCCCAAAGTGCTGGGATTACAGGCTTGAGCCACCGCGCCCAGCCTCCAGGTTGATTTTTAAGACAGTTATTTTTGAAATTTGTTTCTGAATTGAACGATTTTATAGACCCATCGGTATAATGCAGATGTGTTAGTTAATAAATAAATATTTCAAAGCATTTTAACGTTAGCATCCCCTTTTGCTTTGGAGCAGTGTTCTGGTTTAGATGACAAATCATATGATCATTTTTTAAAAGACCTAATTCATTTATCCATGACAGTTTTTTTTTTTTTTGTAATGATCTCTCTTACCTCTGAACTTCCAGAACATGTTCTATGTATGCTTCATATGTAATTTATGCATACTATACAGTTTTTGCATTGTATGTGCTTGTCTCCTACCAGATTGTGACTTTTTAAGTATTGTGACAATATTAATTTCTGTCCTTGCCAGGGCCTGGTAGCATACTTGGCACACAAAAGATATTTGGTAAATACCGTTTTAAAACCTTCCCCCCTCCTCAACTTTTTATTTAATATATATTATTGGGGAGTCTGTATTAAGTGATTCTTGGTGTTTACTGTTTGATAATCTTATATACCTCACAATAATTTTGTGGCTTGGATGAAACAGGTAAATATCCTTGTTTTATATATACATGGCAAAAGTTGAGGCTCAAAGAAATTGTGTTCTTTCTCAAGGTTAAGACCTTTACGACAGTTCTGGGATCAGAATGTAGGTCTCTGGAATCATCGCTTATTTCTCTTTCCATTATACCATCCTGTATTAGATATTTAATTTATATAAGGAGATAGATGCTAAATTGAGTATTATGTTTTCCTTACATGAAGAGATGTGTTTGTGTTTAATGTGAGATTATTTAAGCAGTGTCGCTACTTGAAATTCTACCTGTGCAGAAGGCTTTGAGGCACTTTTATTCAGTGTACTTTTTCTTTTTTGTTGTGGTATGATGTAGAATGTTTTAATGTTTGACCTGTTTTTTGATTTCCAATAGAAGTAACCAGTGTTAACAGTTGCATTAACATCCTTCCATGCCCTTCTTGACACTGATAGAAACATAGGTTTACATTTATAAGGTTTTTTCCTAATTTGATATATGTGAATGTCTATTATTCTTAATCTGTTGCTAGATACTCAGATTTTTTTCTGGTTCTCCTCTACCACAAACCATGTAGTAACTCTCTTTGTACATATATCTTTAATCAGAATGGGCACTTCATAGATATTTGCTAAATAGAGCAAACTGAGGCACAGAATGGCATGAACGCCCAGTAACATTGTTAGTTTACCCAACTTTTTTTTTCTTTTGTAATCGCTGTTTTTTGCAGTAGTCTAAAGGCTTCTCTAGCTTTCACTTGAAAATAATCTGAAAAATTAGAAAGCGCCCAGACTTTGAAACCTGATGTGGGTTTTAGTTAGTTTTCTGGCACACACTAGCTGTAGTGAATGAATGTAGACAAACTGATTTATATCCAAAGCCTCTCGCATTAAATTCTTACCTTGCAGAGATTAGAGAAAAGACATTTAAAGCACTTTATGTAGAGGACATAAAAAACTTTGGTAAATATGGTTGTTTTTTGTATTGTGATAATAATACTGGCTAATAGTTAGTGGACCCTTAAAGTGTGCTGGGCACTGAATTAAGTTTATCTTCTACATTATCTCATTAATTCCTCCAAACAACTCTATGAGGGTGAGGAATAGAGAGGTTAAATGGCTATATTCCTAGTAAATGTAGGAGCCAGGATTCAAACTCTGGCAGTTTGGAGGCCAAGCTCTTAACTACTACACTATTACTACCGTATGTTAGAGCAGATTCTGAACCTTGGCACTGTTGATATTTTGGACCAGGTATTCCTTTGTTGTCAGGGGTTGTCCTATGCAATGCAGGATATCTATCAGCATCCCTGGCCTCTACCAAATAGATGCTAGTAGCATGTCCCCTACCCCCCACACCAGTGAAACTAATGACAATTTAAAAAAAAAAAAACAAAACCCTGTCATTGCCAAATGTTCCCTGGGGAGCAAAATCACCCTGGTTGAGAACGGCTGTCCTAGAAGGACATTTGGGAGGGGAGGAGGAGACATGACTGAAGTAGTTGAAAATATACAGTTGGAATTCAGGATAAGGATCAGAACTAAAGATGTATTTGAAAGTTACTCTTAAGTCATAGTTATTTACTTTCCCAGAAAAAAAGTATGCAATAAGAAAAAAATAATAATAATACAGGGCTAAAGACAGAGCTGGAGAAATGCAACAGTTGAGTGAAAAGAGTGGATAGAGGAGCCAGAGATTGAGAGAGAGAGAAGGAACCGTCATAGAGTGGTAATTCAATGAAAATAAACTCTTGAAATGCTTTAAATTATAAATATAATCCCACTATAAATAATTGGGATATATTAAAGGAAGTAATGAGATTTGGCTGTGAGCTTTATTGGTTTTACCATTTTGTTTACCATTTTGTTTTGTCATGTCTTGCATTTCCTTTAGTTAATATTTTATTTCATGTTGAAGGAAAAAATGAATTATTCTGTTTACTGAAGAGAATAATTTATTATTTCAGGTTGCCGAGGAGCCCAAGTAGAAGAAATATGGAGTTTAGAGCCTGAGAATTTTGAAAAATTAAAGTAAGTATAATTTTAGTTGTGTTAATAATATGTATATTCTTTAGCAAATTTAAAGGATATTCAGATTTGTTTGTTTATTTTACTTGGATTACTCTAGGTTTAATATGTTATGTCCTTTAAGTCTGTTCAATCCTGTGAGATAGATATTATTATTCTCTTTTTATAACCAAGAACCTGAGGCTGATAGGTAACTTGCAAGGGAGTCAAACCTAAGTCTCTGTAGTTCCATATCCACAAAGTACTGATTGGCTGAATTTTTTTTTTTTTTTTTTACAAAATTCAGTCATATATCAATAGTGTTAGAACATGGAACACATTTAACATAAAAGCAAGAACAATAGGTCAGTGTACTAAAGCATATTTAATACATAATGTATATTTATAATAATCCAGAACTTGCCTACACATTATCACGTTGCCTCTTGGGAAAGTTATATTTAAAGTTCCAAATGTTGATGCTAGAAACAGCTTTTATCCTTCCCCCTTTCTGACCAGAATCACCTCTCTTAACTTCTCCTTGCCCCTGACCACCATGCCCTCAAACATTGACCCTGTATCTGCAAATGGAGGGCTAGAGGAATTTTCACTGCTGGGAGACTTGGAGTCTTGGAATGGGGTCAAGGAATAATCTTTTAAAAGGGAAAATAGGAACTTAGGGATATGCCAGCTGTTGTTAATAGTAAGAAGGAGATAGGTAGTTTTCTTCTTCCTACCTTTCTCCTCCCCGTAAAAAGAGCAATCACTTTAGATAAAATGAGATCATTTGTGGCTAACATCAGGGAAGTTTAATTAAAAGTGCATCATTTGAACTGTCTTTAAAAAGATAGGAGCCAGGCATGGTGGCGTATGCTTGTAGTTGTAGCCACTCAGGAGGTTGAGGCGGGAAGATCACTTGAGCCCAGGAGCTCAAGTCCAGCCCAGGCAACATAGTGAGACCTCGTGTCTAAAATAAAATTGAGTCAAATAAAAAGGGGGAAGTTTTGGGGTTTTTTTGTTTGTTTGTTTGTTTTAAACTGTCTCACTCTGTCACCTATGCTGGAGTGCAGTGGTGTGATCTCAGCTCACTGCAACCTCTGCCTCCCGGGTTCAAGTGATTTTTCTGCCTCAGCCTCCCAAGTAGCTGGGATTACAGGCACGCTTTGCCACGCCTGGCTAATTTCTTTGCTTTGTTTTGTTTTTGTTTTTTTAGTAGAGATGTGGTTTCACTGTGTTGTCCAGGCTGGTCTCAAACTCCTGGCCTCAAGTAATCTGCCAGCCTTAGCCTCCCAAAGTGCTGGAATTACAGGCTTGAGACACCACGCCCAGCCCTGACAACAGGAAAAGTTTTTTTGTGGGGTGGGAGGCAGTTGTGATAGATAGACTAGAAGGAATTTCAAAGTAGTGATTTAATGTTTTGTGCTCAAAAACAGTTTCTTTAGGGAAGTGGATGATTTCATTATGTATGAGATGGTAGCATCAATTCATACTGCAATATGAGGATTTTTCATGAATCCAATAATATATGAAGGTTACTTCCTATATTTAATACAGAGAATATATGCTATCAGCCGTTTATCTATAAACATGTTACATGAACTTTATATATTTTGGAGTTCAGCCAGCTTCTGGTTTTACTATATTCTTATTTTTTAATTGAGACGATATTGGGTAGAAATGAATAGTCTACAGATTTGAGAGTAAACCTTTCACTATAATTTTATTTTAACTGATACAATTTTAAGTTGTATTAGCGTCTTCTAAGGCAACAGTCTAGTGACTATGAATGCAATAGTGATCTTTTAAAATTTCCCATATTTACTTCATTTGCATTATATTTGTTAAATAACTGACAACATTTTATAGATTAACAATGTATTATGAAAGGAGCAGGGTTTGTCACTAATTTGTATTTTGTTTTGTAGGCCAGTTCATGGGTTAATTTTTCTTTTCAAGTGGCAGCCAGGAGAAGAACCAGCAGGCTCTGTGGTTCAGGACTCCCGACTTGACACGATATTTTTTGCTAAGCAGGTATGGTCCTTGGATACTCTGAAAAGTCTCAAGAGCAGCCCTTTTTATAAACAAGACTCTGGTTTATTACTATTTGCTACTAGTATAGCAGTCCTCAAACTCTTACACTCTTAAAAATTATTGACATCTCCACTTACACTCTTAAAAATTATTGACATCCCAAAAGACCTTTTGTTTCTAGGATTATCTATCAATATTTGCCATATTAGACATTAAAACCGAAACATTTTATTAATATTTAGGCCAGGCATGGTGGCTTATAACTGTAATCCCAACACTTCGGGAGGCCAAGGCAGGAGGGTCCCTTGAGCCCAGGAATTTGTTTTTTCTTTTTCTGAGATGGAGTCTTGCTCTGTCGCCCAGGCTCGAGTGCAGTGGTGCAAGGCTCGCTGCAACCTCCACCTCCCAGGTTCAAGCAGTCCTCCTGCCTCAGCCTCCCAAGAAGCTAGGATTACAGGCACACGCCACCACACCAGGCTATTTTGTATTTTTGGAGAGACAGGGTTTCACCATGTTGGTCAGGCTGGTCTCAAACTCCTGATCTCTCAGGTGATCCACCCGCCTTGGCCTCCCAAAGTGCTAGGATTACAGGCGTGAGCCACTGTACCCAGCCGAGCCCAGGAATTTGACACCAGCCTGGGAAACATGAAGAGACCCATCTCTGTAAAACAAAAACAAAAAAATAAATTAACTGGGCATGGTGGTGGCATGCCTGTGGTCGTAGCTACTTGGGAGGCTGAGGTGGGAGGACTGCATGAGCCCAGGATATAGAGGCTAAGTGAGCTATGTTCATACCACTACACTCCAGCCTGGGCAACAGATCTTGACCCTATCTCAAAAAAAAAAAAAAAAGTAAGAATTATGAATAGATTTGAAAGTAACAATAATAAACTTGTTATATGTTAACATAATCACATTTTTAAATGAAAAATAACTATAGTTAGCCAAAAAAGTTAGCTAGAAGATTGCATTGTTTTACATTTTTGCAAATCTTTTAAATGTCTGCCTTAATAGCACAGCGGGATCCTACATGCTTCTTCATTCAATCTGTTACAATGTTTTTGTTTTGTTTTACTTTTGGTTGAAATCATTGAAAAAAGTTCTGTCTCACACATATGTGTAGTTGGAAAGGAGAAATATTGTATTTTTCAGGTAAATATGATATTCTTTGACAGTATGCCAGAACTTTAAAAGTATTGCTTTCTCAAAGGTTAGTTATAATGTAAAATTTGTACTTTGTTATGGTCAAATCCTTTGGACCCCCTTCAAATGGATCTTTTATTCCTGTATGATTTTGTAACATTGTACATTTACTGATTTGTGAATGTCTAAGTGTTGACACATTAGATATGATATTATCAGAGAAGTTAAGTTACCTACGGCAAACCTTTTAAGCTCACAGTGGCAGATCTAAGTTTTACAAAATTCAAATTTCTAAATTTTCACTTGAAAATTCAAATTTTATCAACAACAACAAATACTATTAGGTGTTTGTTCACAAAGCCACAGACTGATTTAACTCATTTTTAAGAAAATATCTGCCAGATATCCTTGTCTGGAAAACCACATTTGTCTTTCATTTGTTCTTTCAAGCAAAAATGATGTTCCAAGGAAAAAAGCTAACAATTTAGCTTACAAATCAATTGCTGAAGTACTTTCTTCAAGATAACTAGCATATTTTGGTATACAGCAGTAGTTCTTTATTTGTACTTCCTATTTCATTCCACAGAATATTAAAGACTTGTACTCCAAGGTCAAAGTTTGATAAAAACAAGTTTTACTGCTTTGTCAAAGACTTTTTTTTTGGTAAAACTTGCTCTTGTTTTATTTCTTTTTTTTTTTTGAAACTCTTATGTATGTCAGTGAAATAGTTTAATGTCATTGCCTAGATTCATGCTAAAATACCAGCAGTTTTACACACTGTTGCTTTTGTGCCAACAGTGCAGATGGAAAAGAAGAGGAAAAGGTTAAAACTATCTTAGAATTACGGTGGAAACCATTTTGAGCTCACAAACTCCTTGAAAAGGGTCTTAGGGATTCTTAGAGAGCCATAGATAATACTTTGATTGCATTTGTTTGAAAATTGCACTTATTTCTGAGACCCAAAAAATTGCTTAGAGTAATCTGAATAACCTTTGGAAAGGTGGAAAATAAAACTGCTTATTCTCATTACTGCCCTTGAGATAAAGCCTTTGCTACTAAGTAGCTTGTTTTCCTTTTTCTTTTATTTTATTGCTGCTTTTCATTTTCCTCTGACTTTTTTGAATTGAGCATTCTTAGAGAAATTAGAATTTCTTGCTTTTACTTTAAGGAAAATAGGGTTTTTTTATAGTGTAGTTAAAAATGTATCATTTGGTTTTTTTCTGATAGCAGAACTTAACATTACAGAAATACATAGTGATGAACATGAATATCCTTGTAATCCCACACCCATCTCTACTAACCATTTAACAGTTTGACTCATCCATTTAATCAACAAGTAATCATTGAGCACCTACTTTGCTAGGCATTGTTTTAGATACTACATATATAATGGTTGACAAGAGAGGCATGCTCAACAACTATAATAATAATAATAGTAATAATACAACAGTAGGCAACATTTACTGCTTTTGTTGTGTGCCAGATATTGTAATTTAGGTATATTATTTAATCTTTGCAACAACCCCATGAGGTTGTCTTTATTTCACAAATGAAGAAATTGAGGCCTAGAAAAATTATTTGCCTGAGATCACATGGATAATATTCAGTAGATCTAGAACTTAAATCCAAGTATAAAACCCAGGTTTGTGATTTTATATGTCATACTTCCTCCCACGTTTTCTATTCATATGTTAACATGTTTTCCTTACAATTTTGTTTGCTAAAATTGGATTATTATCCAAAATATTTTGGTTTTTTTTTACTTAGTAATGAAAGTTTGACTTTGTTTCATTTCAATACACATAATAAATATTAGTTAACATTTATTGAAGGTTTACTAAGTACTTTTATATATTTTAAATTATAAATTTATATAAAAATTTATATTATTTATATATTCTATAAATAAATTATTATATTTAAATATATTTAATACTTAAAATTATTAATCTGATCTCTTACAACAATTATCTGGTTTTGCAGTTTCCTCATCATTTTACAGATGTAGAAACCGAGTCCTAGAGAGGATAAGAAACTTGATCATGTTATGTAGCTAGTCAGTGGCAGAGCTAGGGTACAAACCCAGGCACTGTGGCTCTGAAGTCTGTACTATTAACCTTATCACAGCACTGCCTCCTTTAGTGTTCTTGATATAGATATCCTATAATTTGATTAATCTTTTAGTAGTCGACATTTTGAGTTTCTAATTATTTCCCTAATCTAAATAATCTGGTCGGGCATGGTGGCTCATGTTTGTAATCCTATCATTTTGGAATGCTGAGGTGGGAGGATCACTTGAGTCCAGGAGTTTGAGACCAGCCTGGGCAATATAGGCAACCCTGTCTCTAAAAAAAGTAAAAAGTTAGCCAGACTTGGTAGCACATGCCTACCAAGTCTCAGCTAGTCTGGAGACTGTCCAGACTAGCTTGAGCCCAGGAGGTTGAGGCTGCAGTAAGCTATGGTCATGCCACTGCACGCCACCCTGGAGAGCAGAGCAAGACCTGTCTCAAAAACAAAACAAAAAGTCCAAATAGTCCATTTATATAATATTTTTGTACTTATGTATCATTATATATATAGTAACTATAATTTTAAATCCACAGTTGTTTGTGAATTTTAAGATCTAGGTAGTAGAGAAAAGCTAGGGGACAGATGCGTTTAAAAGTCTGTCAGGTGATTTTTCTCCTTTTTAAAAATGTTAGTTTTTCAATGTATATAAGTATATATGTCATTATAAAAATGGCAAACATTATAAAATGGATGCTGTAGAAAATAAAAGTGTTTTGTAATCTCTGCTTTAGACATAACCACTGAAAACAATTTATATTTTTACAGAATTTTTTCCCATGTATGTTTGTGTATATTTGTGTTAGGTTATTCTTATATTGCTATAAAGAAATACCAGAGACTGGGTAATTTATAAAGAAAAGGTTTAATTGACCTAGAGTTCTCCAGGCTTTATAGGAAGCCTGGTGGTGACATCTGGTTGGCTTCTTGGGAGGCCTCAGGAAGCTTTTACTCATGGTGGTAGGCAAAGCAGGAACAGACATCTCACATGGCTGAGCTGGAGTGAGAGGGAAAGAGAGAATGGGGGACACATTTTTAAATGATCAGATTTTGAGCAAGAGCTCACTTAACACCAAGGGGATGGCCTAAGCCATTCATAAGGTGTCTACCCCCTTGATCCAAACACCTCCCACCAGGCCCCACCTTCAGCATTGGGGATTACATTTCAACTTGAGGTTTGGGCAGGGACAGATTTACGAACTGTATCAGTAAATTAATTAATTGTGTTTCTTCCACACTAAACTGTAAACCTGGGGGATTTTGTTTTTGTATTCAGTCCTTGGTACATGATAGGTATCCAATAAATGCAGACTGAACTGTTCATCTCTAAGAATATTATTGTTAAAGAGTGCTAGAATTTACTAACACTGGGATACTAATGATGTCTGATTTATGGAGACCTGGCTATTTTTAAGGTATAAGAAAGTACTCTAGACACAAAGAAAAAAATGATAGTAGAGTATGACTTTATAATTTCTGGAGTCCCTTGATATTTTTTAGTTGTGTGTTACATTTTTCTCTTACAGTGTTTTATTTGTATTATTCCAGTTGTGTTTATGAAAGTGTCAGATTAGTGATTCCCTATATAATTGTTGGTACCTTATTTTGCTAACAGTTCTTATTAAATTGACAGGTCAGTAATTCCCTATTAATATCTGTCAGTCTTTTTAGTATATGCCTCCTATAAGCCTGTGCTAAGAGAGTTATAATATATATTACATCAATATGTAATAGTTGATTTTAGATTTTAAGGACTTACAGTAATAATTTCCAATCCAGGATGTCTGGAG